TATTGGGGGGGGGGACGTGCAGATCTGCCCTCGCGGAGGAGGGAGAGCTTGTACCTGAATAAACCTTGGTCTTAAAGGTGCCACTGGACTGTTCTGGGCTGGGGGGGCAGGCTCTGCAGCTTACCTGGCTGCTTCTTGCTCTGACTGAGGGCTGCTGGGAGCAGGGGGCGGGGCTTGTTGCATGTGCCCACCCCCTGGGCTCTTTACTGCCGGAGCTCCGTTCCTGTGCGCTCCTGCAGGAAATGACCCCTGATTTGCTGTTTCTCCATTTCAGATGGAAGAGATGGAGCTGGAGAAGGTAAGTATGTGGAACTTGGGAACACAGCAAACGGTATGGTCTTTGTGGACAGCATGCTCATTCACAAGCCGGGCGATCTCCTCCAACCTCCCAAGGGCCACAGAAACATGAATAGTGGCACTTAAGCTAACTTTGGAGGTGGAAGTTGGGCCCTGTCTGAAGCTGGATTCTCTAGACAAACATCAGCTGCTTTTGCGCTTCTGTGTCCAGCTGGTGGCGTTGCATTGGTCTGGATTCTGTGCCTCCAGTCCCTGAGAAAGTGTGGCGAATCCTGTTTGGGAGCTTTGCCCTGATTTGTTTGGGTCTCAGTGGAACCCTTCCTGGATTTGGTAAAAGAGGAGGAGAAATACCAGGGTGGCACTGGCAGGGAAGCAGAAGTAGAAAAGAGCAAGAGTCCAGTAGCACACTTGGTGGGGGGGGCAACAGTGGGAGGGCTCCTAGTGTCCTGGCCCCACTGCTGGACCTCCTGATGGCACCGGGTATTTCTGGCCACTGTGTGACACAGAGTGTTGGGCTAAATGGGCCACTGGCCTGACCCAACATTGGCTTCTCTTATGTTCTTATATTCACCTAACGACGTTTGGGGGCAGGGGATGAGCATTTGTGAGTCACGGCTCACTTCTTCAGATAAAGTTTGGCAGGGAAACGTTTTATCGCCCCAGGAAGAATCGCTCTGCGTCGGCATATATTCCTCTCCTTTACTTTGTGGCCATTCTCTCTCAAAGGCGCTAACCTCTGTCCGTCTTCCGTTAGGTGGCCGTTGGCCTCCAAGCGGCTTTCAGGGGACATCTGGCTCGGCTACAACTGTTGGCCAGCGATGCACAAGGTCGGAATTCTCCCAGCGCTGGAAACAAGGTGACCGTCGGGGGGCTGGGAGGACGTTGGACTCAGCCGATCCCCACCAGTTTCCCAATATAGGCGACCCCCTTTTATTTATTTTATTCCATGTGTAGCCGCTGGCTATACATGGTCCATAGCATACGGACATTTCTCTTCGCCAACTCTACCCACCCCATGCGTATATCAACTTTCCCCCCCCCCCAATAACACTTTTATTTTATTTTATAATCCAACATTCTACAAGCAAACTTAAAACCGGTGAATACCATAAAGCAATGTACAACCGAAAAAATTTCTAGCGAATTTTGCCAACATTAAGTTACATATGATGAAAGACTTTATAATATTTAGATGGAACATTAAATTTGGATGTATCGGTATTGAAAACAAATTCTAAGAAAGGAAACCATTTCGTGTATAATGAGGAGCTTTGATATGAAATGTTATTAGGGGCCACTGCATCAGACAACTTGTCCATGATATAGAAGTCCCAGACTTTCAAGCGCCATGACGAAAGTAGTAGTTTATTGGTAGATTTCCAGCTGCTTGCAATTACCATTTTAGCTGCTGTTAGTAGGGTCGAAATGAGTTCTTGGCTGTGTTTGGGAATATGTGGGGCGTTCCAAAGATCTAATAATATTAGCTCAGGCTGCATGGGTATCAGGTGCCCTGTTATATTTCGTATATCAACTTCTGTCCTGTCCCCGCCCTCCAAGCCGTCTCCGTTCTAAACCGAAAAGTCCCACGCTCTTCGGCCAAGTCCCACGCTCTTCGGCCATTCCTCATAGCCGGAGAGGTGCCGGGGGATCGAACCGGGGACCTTCCGCATGCCAAGCGGAGGCTCTACCACAGAGCCACGCCCCTCCCCAGAGCAGATTCGAGGGTGGCCCTCACAGGAGTCTGGTGGCATCCTCAGTGGCTCCAGCTCAAAAGTAGACAGCTGGGCTCTGCCACTGATGGGAAAACGCTTAGAACTGAGAATGGAGATGGTCAGCGTGACCCGGTTGGGTGCCAGAGGATGTGTCGAAAGCCTCCTTGCTGTGCTTCTGCTCCTAGAACTTATTGTCCGGGCCCCACTCTTCAAGATCGGCGCCAGGTGGCAAAGCAGACCCCGAGGACCTGAGGCTCATCCAGTCTGTTTTCAGGGCTCACAGTGCACGGACGCAGGTGGAGGAAAGGTAAGCCCTGGGGCAGGTTGTATTCCCCCAACACGGTCCTTTTAACTGGAGATGGAGAGATTCGAACCCAGGGCCTCCTGCATCCACAATGCGCCATCTACAGCTCAAGCCCCGAGCTTGCGTTTCCGACCAAAGTTTTTTCTCTTCCAGAATCTGTGGGCAGCAGAAAAATTCAGTTCTAATCCCCCTCCCCGTATAATATACTGCCCCCCCCCAACAGCTTTCAACCCCACTGGAAGCCTTCCATCTCAACAGAGTGGGCTAGCATGTGATTTAGAGCCCCCGACCTCGAGGGCGTCCTCATCATAGATTTTATTCCGTGTGTCTCTGACTTCGGTCTCTGCACTGGGCGGTTTCATGACCCTTGCCAATTCTCTTTCTCTGCCTTTCGCAGGCCGACAGTGTCTTGCCCCGTGAGCGAGGAGGCACGTCCAGATGCTGACCTTGGAGAGAGAAAGCCGGTCTGGTCAGCGTTCAAGTCTTCCCCTTTAGTCTTCACCTCCACAAGCCCAGGTAAATCTCATTTACCTTCCTGGTCTGGGTCTGAGTGGTCCTTTGTGTGCGTTTAGAAAAAGATGCTGTTGTTTCTCTGGGGAGCAAATCCATCTTGGCAAGCGTTGCAACAAATAAAATCGGCCCTCACCAGTCCAGCGCTCCGTATCACACAGTGGCGTAGTGGGTAAGTGTGGCGGACTCTGATCTGGGAGAAGCGGGTTTGATTCCCCGCTACTCCTCCACACGGAACCTGCTGGGTGACCTTGGGCCAGTCGCAGTTCTCTCAGAGCTCTCTCAGCCCCACCTCCCTCCCAAGCTGCCTGTTGTGGACAGAGGCAGGGAAAGTGATTGTAAGCCGTTTTGAGAGTCAGGGTAGAGAAAAGCCTACTGTTCTTCTTGCCTGGCATGGGGCAGGTATTCTGTAAAGAGCATGCAGTATGCCCTCGAGTTCATTGGTGACCCCCCCCTGGTAGCCATCTTGGAGAGTGAATCCACAAAGCATCCATCGTATGCCATTTGCCCTTCCTCCGGGGAGAGGGGGACCACAGCCCCCAGGTGAGGGGGATGTGGAGGCACTGCACACCAGCCGCACCACAGATTTAAGGTAAAGGTAAAGGTTCCCTTGCTCGAAAGCCAGTCGAGTCCGACTCTAGGGTTGCGGTGCTCATCTCCGTTTCCAAGCCGAAGAGCCAGCGCTGTCCAAAGACGTTTCCGTGGTCATGTGGCCGGCATGACTAAACACCAAGGCGCACGGAACGCTGTTCCCTTCCCACCGAAGTGGTACCTATTTCTCTACTTGCAATGTCTTGCTTTCGAACTGCTAGGTTGGCAGGAGCTGGAACTAGAGACGGGAGCTCACTCCGTCATGCGGCACACTCGGGTCTCGAACTGCTGAACGACCCACCTTCCACAGCCTGCAGTTCAGCGTCTTAACCACTTGAGCCACCGCAGATTTACCCGCAGATTATTTGAGCGGTGCATTTATTCCCCCCCCCCGCCCCTCTTCGAACCAGCACTGTACGATGCCCGCTCCCGTTTTCCTGGCCACTTTCAGCGCAGTCATTATCAGGGGCGTCTTTGCACGCGCTTCAGATCGGCGATGCAGACGAGGGTCCGTCCCCACCACTCCCCACCTCCAGGGCCGGGCAGCCGCTCAGCCCTTTGTCCGTCCCCACCACTCCCCACCTCCAGGGCCGGGCAGCCGCTGCGTCATCGATTTCCAATGGCTATCGCTCTTCTATGTCGGCGGCCTCTCCGGTCGCATTGATTTCTGTGCGGCGGGCCACAGAGCGGGTGTCAATGGCTGTTTGCTTCACCGAGCTGTTGCGGAGGCTAATAACTATCATCACTTAACCGCTTAACTGCTCCACCAGAGCCTATTGGTCCAAGGTGCAATTTCAATAATCAAGAAAGGGTCAGCCCGTTGGGGGAGGAGAAACAGACCAGCTCGTCTGTGGCGGCGCGGCTCTTTCTTACTTGAACTAGTAATACAAACAGCGAACGGCTCTGTCCATTATTCTCCATCGGCCACCACCTTGCATTCATACTCTGACCCAGTTCGTATCTTGTCGTAAACAATGCTCCTTCTAAGCTGTGGAGTCTTGTGAGCAAAAATTCTATTTTGTGAGCTACTTGGCATGAAAGTCGTGAGCGAGCCATTTGGCTGCTGCGTAAATTAGTTGGCTGTGGAGTCATCCTTCCTGAGCGAAGACAAAAACGTGTGAGCCGGAGGGTAAGAAACTGTGAGCTGGCTCACACTAACTCAGCTCAGAGGGAACACAGGTCGTAAACCCAGATGAGAGAAAGAGCGTGTTATGCACGTGTTTGAGAAACTCTGTGCATGTTGTTGCTTGCTTGTAACATTCTGTGAGGCCGGTTGATCAGTGAGAAAGAGTTTCTGACATTTACCGGTCAATCTTGAAAGCTACCGAAATGGCTTTGATAAACTACGGCATTTCATTTATCGGCAAATTATGTCCTTTTTAAAAACGGTAGAGTGGTACGGTAACGCCGGTGGATTTCCATTCCCCACCACCACCACCCTCAGCGGAAGTACTCTGTTTTGGGTGTTGACAGATAAACATACCAAGGGGCTGTGAATTGTGATGCGATTAATAGAAAGTTCCCCTAAATGAGGTTTAGACAATACTGGCTCTGTCAGGGTGAGTGGCTGTAACTCAGTCTTAGCTTCGCAGAGCCCAAACGCCATAGAAATATACACAGAGAAGACCCGAGTGCGCCGTTCTCCACCAAAACACAGATTGTCCTGTTGCAGAAGGTCCCGAAATCAAGGAAGACGGAGGGGGAGAAATTTGCAGAAAGCACCGAAGCTGAGTTAAAGTGATTGAGTGAATAATAGGCCAAGACTCCTTCCAGAGAGAGAGAGAGAGAGAGAGACTGACCTTGTTAGATCAAAGCAATTTGTTTAGGGAGCCGGACCTCTTAATTATTCTGTCTGCCAGGGAGGAACCTTCTTTTGTTTGCCGTTTTTTTTGGTGGCATGGCAGAGTTCATAAATCACGCTCAGGAGGTCGCTCCCTTTATCAAACGCCAGACATTTACGAGGAACACGCTGCCTGGTGTCGCAGGAGTCCCCTGAGCCTTATCGCTTTTGTAGAAAGCATTTCTCCCCCCCCCCTTAAACAATAGCCAAGTGAGAATGCAAATATTGGATACGTTTATTGGACGCCGTCCTCTAAACGGCACTCAGCTTAAAGAAAGATCTTCACCGGCCTAAATTGACACCAACTGAGTCTGTCTAGAGCAGCGGATGGAGGCGACCAAAGAAGAAGAGAAGAGATCAAAGAGCGAGTTTGGCAAAGAGCCAGTTTGGTGTCGTGGTTAAGTGCGCGGACGTCAAGCCGTAGTTCTGATAAGAGCTGTTGTTGAAAAAGAACAGTTTCTGTCAGAGCTCTCTCAGCCCCACCTGCCTCACAGGGGAGGGAAGGGGAAGGAGTTTGTAAGCCGCTCTGAGACTCTTTCCAGTAGTGAAGGGCGGGGTATAAATCCAATCTCTTCTTCTTCTATATCAAAGTGACAGAATGAGCTGAATTTTGGAGCATCCCTTGTTAGGTATGCTGGTGTGACCTTGGGTCAGTCACAAGTTCTCTCAAGGGCAGTCCTCGAAAGAGCTCTCTCAGCCCCCCTCCCTCCCAGGGTGTCTGTTGTGGGGAGGGGAAGGGAAAGGAGATTCTGAGCCACTCTGAGACTCCTTCGGGTAGTGAAGGGCGGGGTATAAATCCAATCTCTTCTCCTCCTCTTCTTCTTCTGTGGGGCTACCAGCAGCCCGCACCTTGCGGGCCCAAAGTGGGGGTAACTTGCAATACCGGAGAGGCGGCTGGGTGACGGTTTGCAGGGAGCTGTGCACGATACGGGGTGTGTGTATGTGTGTTGCACACCGATGTCTGCAGTGCCTTTCCCAGCTTGTGTGCTGCAGCCTCCCGACCCTGTAGGGTCGCCACCCCCCCAGGTTGGGACTGGAGATCAGGACTTACACCTGGTCTCCAGAAGACGGGGTCAGTTCCCCTGGAGAAAATAGGCGCTTCGGAGGGAGCTGTGGCTCCATGCCTCGCAGACGTCCTCCCCCTCCTGAAACCCCACCCCTCCTCAGGCTCCACCCCCAAATCTCCAGAAGTTTCCCAACTGTGAGCGTGAGTCTCAGGTCTTTGGGGAGGGAGGGAGGGAGAGAGAGAGGTGGCCCAGAAGTCCATATACCAAAAGCCCAACACGTTCTGTCATTTTGCCAATCTCCGAATCCACATAAAGGCAGCTGAGTGACGACTTCTTTATTCATTTTAAATCCAGTATCACTGATAAAAGTTAACACACTAAACTGCAGACCGGAAGGTCGGTAGCGCAGCCGTTTGAGACCCGAGTGTGCCGCGTCACGGAGTGAGCTCCCCTCTCTGGCCCCAGCTCCCGCCAACCTAGCAGTTCGAAAGCAAGAAACTGCAAGTAGATAATAAATAGGTACCGCTTTGAGAAAGCACACAAAACTGGAACGAGCCGAGAACGTCATGGCCCAGAGAGCATCCTCCTCCCCAGAAGGACTGGAATCTTTCTCTTTGTCTCCCTTTCAGCCCCCTCCTCCCCGTGTTGCCTGCGGCCCTCTCCTGCGCCACCGGCGGACGAGGCGTCTTCAGATGATTCCGACGATATCATCACCGTGTCTCCATCGCCAGGGAAGAAAAAAGGGCCCTTGGATTTCAGCGGCTCTCCGACACCTTCTGTCCTGCGCTCCTAGCGGCCGGTGGGCGCTCAGCCTGGTCTACGCATGCTGCAGGACGGCGGGGTGGAATTGACCGTACCACTTCCAGACTGCGGGGGCGGGGGGTCGCATTTTGGACCACTCCGTTGCATAGACGGTTCCTTGCCGATAGGAACACAGAGCTGGAAAGGACCTCAAGGGTCATCTGGTCTGCCCCCCTGCACAACGCAGGAAATCCACACCTATCTCCCACCCACCCACCCCCATTCCCCCAGTGACCCCTGGCAAAAAAAAATCCTCCTCGATCCCTGCAGCCAAATGTGGCCCTGGAGGAAGAGAGCCAGTCAGGTGTAGTGGTTAAGAGCACGGACTCTAGTCTGGGAGAACCGGGTTTGATTCCTCCACTCCTCCACATGTAGCTGCTGGTGTGACCTGGGGTCAGTCACAAGTTCTCTCAGAGCTGTTCTCATGAGCAGTCCTCACAGGGTGTCTTTTGAGAGGACGGGAAGGAGTTTGTAAGCCGCTCTGAGACTCCTTCGGGTAGTGAAGGGCGGGGTATAAATCCAATCCCCCCCCCCCCCGCGAAAGTGGCGATTGGCAATACCCCGGGCACGTAAGAAAGTTGAAGTGGCGTGGTCCGTTCTACCA